TAAGGTTCAGCATTTCTATAAAGCCATTGAGTGCAGTCATTAGTGGATTAGGAGAAAAATTACATCAATATGTTAATGATAGGTAAAAGGTAAAGGTTCCCCTTGACAATTTTTGTCCAGTAATGTTCGACTCTAGGGGACGGTGCTCATCCCTGTTTCCAAGCCATAGAGCCAGCGTTTGTCTGAAGACAATCTTCCGTGGTCACATAGCCAGTGCGACTTAGACATGGAACACTGTTACCTTCCCACTGAGGTGGTCCCTATTTATCTACTCTCATTTGCATGCTTTTGAACTGTTAGATAGCAGGAGCTGGGACAAGTGACGGGTGCTCACTCCATCACGTGGATTCAATCTTACAGCTGAAGATCTACAGACCTTACAGCACAGAGGCTTCTGCAGTTTAACCTGTAGCGCCACCACATCCCTTGCACGTCATGTTGATCATAGGTGTATTTATATCTCTGTTACATATGAATTAGGTGTAACTCTACAGGTTCTAGACTTGTTCCTGGATGTAGTGCTGGTGTCATAACACTAAATTAATCTCCCGCGCCCGAGAGGCCTCCTCCCGTGCCGGCTCCTGCTGGCGGAGGGGGGCGGTTGGCGCCGGGCCCGGGGGCGCGATCCCTCCCTCCCTCCCTCCCAGGCGGGACACAGGCCGCTCTTTTCTGATACTTTTATCGGTTCTGCTGTTCCAGAGGGGTTAAGGCAGATCCCCTGCTTGGTAAGGGGGGGGGGACCGAAATAAAGGCATGCCTTCAAGCAAAACTTACAAACTTGTTTTTTATTATTATTTTAAAAGCAAAAGGGCCTCTGGCCAAGGAGATCCTGCTGTCTGGACAGATTCCGGTAAGGTCTTCTTGCCCAACTGGCCTTCATTCACGTGGGAACCCAGAGCAGGGTGTGCCGTGCCTGTTCCAGACTTATGTGCGCCCCATGGTTGGTGTGTGCGCTCCCAGGTGGAGGGTGGGGTTAAGGGGCACCCGCTGGGCCGGGGGGGGGGGAAGCCTTGGCCCTGTCAGGCCTTTGGGGCCGCCAGCTCCAGTCCGTCACTGCCAGGGCGGGTGGTAAAGGACGGCGGGAGCCGCCACCACCCTCCCCCATTACCCGCAGCCCCTCCAACAGCCAACCCGAAGCCCAAAGCTTCCCGCCTCTCTTTTGTTGCAAGGGCGTTGCGCTCAGAACTCCAGAAGAAAGGATTAGGATGGGGAAAGCGCTTAAGCTTCTCTTGATCATGGTACGTTGTGTGCTCCGTATTACCAACAGAAAACATATTTCAGCAAAGTAGACTAGACCTCTTTTAATGTTCCAATGGAAATTGTGTCCATCAAACAAAAGTAAAAATACATCCCTGGGGAAAGGTAGGTGCCTGAGAAACAAAGGCAGTCTCCTCACTCCACTGGTAAGGAAGCCAGAAAGAGAGAGAGAGAGAGACACCACATCTTCCATTTCACTTCAGACCCCACTGCTTGCGATCTGCTTGAAAACATATTCTGATGCCTATATGCACCACCGAAATCCATAGAAAGCTTTACAACTACTTTCATCTTAGCAATGAATAAAAACAGGTAGAGACATTACAGAACACTCACCAGACTTATTTTATCTCAACATTCTATTTAAAAAAATAAGTAGTATCTGGTTTTCAACTATTTGCAGAGAAATGGGAGAGGAGATTGCAAAACATGGGCATATGTTGGTCTGCTTAGGTCTGTTGCTTCAGGACATTTAAAAAAAAAGGAAACATGAACCGAGGAACTTCAGCACCGCATGGGTTGTGCCATGTTGGCATCCCAGACACTCTCACATCCTTGTGCCTTTTAGCTGACAAGAACCCCCTGCAAAGCAACCGCTCTGGCTTTGCCAGCCAGGGCCCACAACCCTCAACACCCCGAGTGTGTGAGAGGTGCTCCCCAAACAAGCAGTAACGCATCCAGCAAAAGACAGCAGATTCTAAGGCAGTGAGAGACATCGGTGCAGCAAAGCTGCCATGTCCGTGCTAAAGGTTGGAGCTGAGCTGCAGAAAAAAGAGCCAGTCCCCTCCCTGCAAGGTGCCCTCAAGTGGATTCTTCCTCCTCCTCCTCCTCCTCCTCTGTTTTCTGATCCACCTCAGTGGTATCCGATGACTCATGAAGGAGGACGTACTCCCTGCTGCTGAAGCCAAACTTCAGCACGTCCTTCTCCTTCAGTTCGTAATAACGCTGGGGCTCAATCTGCTTGTTGTTCAGAAATGTGCCATTGCCCGAGCCAAGGTCAATGATGTAGGGCTTGACCTTCCGGCCCATGGTGCCATCCGGACGTGTGTATTCCACAAGCCTGGCAAGAAACAGAAATTCAGGATGACCGACAACTGCTGCCACCACACCCCCACCCCCGGGGCACAGCTTTGCCTCAATTCTGCCTCCAAACAGGAGTCTCTCCAGGTCCCGACAACCCCAAGAACCACCACCACCACCACCCTTTCTAGATCTCTAGATTCTTGGGACATGTTGCCACTCTCCTTCCATGCCTTTTTGTGACTCTGGCTAGCTCTGGCTTCCTCTCTTGGCACGCCACTAGAAGTGGTCTTTAAATGACTGACAATAATATTTTCAATGAAGAATTCAAAGGTTTTCCCTCCTGTTGTTTGCTGGTTTCCTTCCTACACGACTCACCATTATTTCAGTGTTTCCCAAGAAGGGTATGTTTACTCTTTATTTTCTCTCCCTATCCGCTGAGTCAGATTCCCTCACCACCACCCCCAGCCTCTAAAGGGCCCAGGCTTACCGGTACTGAAACACCGCATGCTGTTTGGAGCACGAGGGGTGGTCAATGGGAATGTCAGCAATACGTCGGTGCCTGCCCAGCAGATAGGCACTCTGCCTGTGAATGTACATCACCGGAAGAACCTCATCATTCTTAAAAGGGTACAGACGCCATCGCTTTTTGGGGATGCGTGCCTCCGGGGGCTCTGTGTACTTGATCACAACCCCTCGGAAAGTGTTGGTGTCCTCCAAAAGTGCGCCAGACAGTTCAAAGCTTGGTTTCTCCTTATTACCAGGATCCTTCTCTGCACTCTTGATGTGGGGTCCCTGCGTCTCCCTATCCTTCCCATCAAGGCTTGCCTCGGCCTGCGGACGGTGCTCCCGGCGCCGCTCGTTGTAGTATTCCCTCTGTGTCTGCTGCTCCTGGAGGTGATGAGCGTCCTGGTCCCTCTCGTGACCCCCAGGCTGATCTCGGTGGGACTTCCTTCGGCCTGAATGGTCCCTATGCTTGTCTCGGTCCCCACTTCTCTCCCGCCTGTGCTCCAGCTCCAAGCGGTCTCGATTCTGCCGTTCCTCGTGGCCCCTCCGGGACCGATCCTCTCGTTCCTGTAACCATGGAAAAACATGGGTTTCAGGTTTTTAAATTGCAAGATATAACCCATTAATTAGTGTCATGCCATCGTGATAAGCAAAAAACAAGAAGCACAATATTTAATCCTCTGTAATTGTAGTTTTAGATGAGGCAGACATGTTAGCCTGTGCTAGTGTATCAGGTGGAAAATAAAAATACAGAAGATGAACATTTTGTTGCACTTTAAAAATTGAATGCTATATTTATTTATTTATTTTATATTCCGCCCACACTACCCAAGAGTCTAATATTTGAATGTTGTGAGAATCACTTTTGTGGGAAAGTCTACAGAAATGAAAGCTCACATTCAAATACCACAGCCTGTCTTTAAGGTGTCATGATACTTTTGTCTTCTTTATCTTTCTTTGGCTTTTGGCCTAATAATTAACCTTATGAAGACAGAAAGTAATCCACTGCTCTATAAAATAACACACAGGATAGGAAATGAGATCCACCATGTTCAGCAATTCACGGCTAACCAAAAACAATTAAAGTGGCAGCTCTAATGCCCCTTAAACCAGCCATGTGTCTGTTTTGTTTTACTCCAAAAGCTTGCCAGACGCTCTGCTTGACCAAGAAACTTCCTTGGCAGGATCCAGAACTTCATTTTACCTGCTTCACATTAGTGATCATGAAATTGGGACTCCGGCTTGTTTTCTCTCGAGGAGACCGGCTCCTTTTGTCAGAAGATTTGTTCTTCCTTTTTGACTGGGACCTTTTGAAAACACGAAACCCGAATGAAGGAGGCAGATTGAAAAAAGCACACGCACCCAAGGACAACCGAGCAGGAAGGCCCTACAGAATCCCCTGGTGGGATCCCCACGGCGGGCAAACCAGGCCAGAGAAGGAGGGGCGGCCACCGGGTGGATCCTGAGCCCCCTCGGGAGGGGCCCCGGTCAGGTCAGGGCCGGGCAGCCCCTACAGTCCGGACCCCAAAGGGCTGCTGCCGCCGCCTCCCGCCCCCTAAATGCTCGCTTCCTCGGGGGTGGGGGCTGGACCGACCAAGGAGCTGCTCTGGCAGAGCACCAGGGTCCAGACCTCGGCCGTCTCTCGGCGCGGAACGAGGGAAGGAAGACAGGACGGGGGGGGAGGGAGCCCCAACCACCCCCATTCACCACCTCCCAGGATCCCGGTCCCCGAGGTGGAGGAGGAGGAGAAGGAAGAGCCCGGGTCAGCGCCGGGGCTCCACGGCCGTCCCAGCGGCTGCGCGGGAGTCACCTGTGGACTCTCGACTCCCCCGGCGAAGAAGGGCTTCCGCGGGTGCTCCGCCTCTTGTGCCGGTGGTGGCGACGCCGTCGCTCGGGCTCCTCCATAGCAGCTCCGGCCCCGTTTTCCGCCGCCTCGCTTCCGCTTCCGGAAAGACCCGGAAGCGCTCCTCTCCTCTACCTCCCCCCCCGCCGCCCTGACTTGCCCCGCGCCCTCTCTATGGCACCGCAAGCGCAGTCCGCCCACAGAGCGGAGCGCCTCAGGCCATGTGACTCACGGAAGCGGAAGTGGGGGAGGACTTGCCTGCCTTCCTACAGCGCATGCGCTGCCTCTCTCGCGCTTTCGGGTGAGCCCCAGAGTGGGAGCTCCAGCGGCGCGTGTCAGCTGACCGGCGGAGCGTCCCCGTCGCCATGGCAACCGGAACTCGACAGGCTCCGGGGCGAAGTCCCGGCCCAGCTCCGCCGCCGCCGCCGCCGCCGCCTCGGGCACCATGATTCCTCCGGCGGACTCTCTGCTCCGCTACGAGACGCCAGTGCTGGTGAGCCGCAACACC